TAATCTGCCCCTAACATACATTTGTTTTCTTTGTAATATGAATGTGGTTTGTATTGGAGAAATGAGCTGAACTGGGGAGTGGAAATCAGTGGCTGGTTTTGGTGATGCTAGTTTTATACTGGTTGAACATTTTCTCAGTAATGCAGTAGGGTAAGAGAAATATGAAACTGGAGGTGGTTGTTTCTTCATTCTATTAGTGCTAATGGTTATCCATTTGTGACAGGCAGTTGACTTTGGATTAGAATTGGGGTTGTATGTGATTCACATAAGTAGCATTTGATGATGGAACCTGGGTGAAAAACTAGTGATTTCCACATTACAAGATATGCAAAGTGGGTTTGTTTGGGATTGTGAAATAGGAGAGAGAAATTTGCAGGATGCAGTTTAGCAATGCCAGGAACAATCATGCAGATACTCATCCAAACTGCCAACAGCAAATCAGATCCTGTTTAACCTGGCCCTACCAATTTAGAACGTTTGGATCATTTCTCGAATATTCATTACCACAAGTTTCAGAAGGTAAAATATATAAGATCAAAACCAATTTATCCTACTTGTGAACACTCCTAGTAAGAGTACTGAGCCAATAAGGCTAATGTGTGATGATATGTTTAGAAAGCACAGGCAAACAGAAAGGATCTAGTTATAATAGCCTCACTAGACTTGAGAGAGTACAATGAAGAATAGATGATTTTCTGCTGTCCAATTACACATGTCATACAAACTTCACTCACAATTTCCAATGTCATGAAAAATAATTTAGTGGTTGACCATATTAAGCAGAAAAGGAAATACATGAAACTAATAGTAAAAAAATGAATCTACTACCATAGCATTAAGTAAAAAGTTACCAGAAGAATCTGCATTGTCGGCGGGTGAACTGATCCCTCATAGAGAAGCCCAGCTGAAACTAGTGCTGCTGACTGGAAGGCAACAGAATAGAATGTGAGGTCAAATCAATATTCCAACTACTGCCAAATAAATCTCATGACTATTTTTTACACCTTTGCAAATTGATCAATCATTCAAGACTCAATTTTAGCAACAACTGTAACCAAGTAGAGAGTCAACTGCAATATGAGGAAGAAAACTGGAATTCACCAACTACAGCAAGGAAGTCCACAAAATAAGCTTATACCAATTTAGAACAGAGTCTGGAAAGTGCTTCTCAAGAAAATAGTGTTCTGAAGAATTTTTTTTGTATGCTAATGAACACATCTTTGGATGCATCAATGCACGCCTTTTAAGTTTTTGCAAACAATTAAACTTTGCCTTCCTTGTAGAAGAAACAAATATTCATTTCCAAATGTAAAAAAAAAAAAAACACAAATTATTTTATGATGTAATTCAAGTGAGACAGTGATAAATACCTGCACAAGGGTTGGTAACTCCAAATCCGGAAATGAAGAAGAATGCCGAGAAGGTATATGAAAATACAGTGACTGCCACACAGAGCAATTGAGTCAGTTTTGTGAATTAGACTAGTAAGTGACTTAGGAATATAGAGAAGAAGAATATTAAAGCAATGCTTAATGTAATGTTCTATTCTCCACACGAAAAAGTCACATCTACTAAAAAGTGTTTAAGTGGTTGGAGCCCCTAGTTAGTATCTGAAAAGGTCACTAAAATATAGGACACAAAAGATGCAGATTGAATGTTAAGATGCCAATTGGCATCCACTGCAGGAAACCATTGCACGCTAGTTTATTGATTCTCATGCTTACAGAATTGTATACCAATTCAACAAAAAAATCAACAATCAAAAGAAATTCTGTCTTGGGGAAGAAGGCATCCTTCCATCCAAAACACAAAAGGCTAGGAAGACTTTAGCAAGCAAAACTTCAATAGATGAAGAAGAGAAGATTGAACCTTAACAGAATATCTAGGTTTAAATATGGTTTTTCATCATGAAAGAAAAAGAAATGAAGAGGTTTACATATGGTTTTTACCTTTGATATTGCTGGGTGCATTGTTTTCCTGTAAGAAGCTGCCAGACCAAGCATTAATCCTACCGTTGTACTTTCATGCTCCTGTTGATATGAAGCAGTAAGAAGCAAAACCAGACAAAAAAAGGACAAAATAAACAGTAAATATATGAATAAAATGATTATAGATGATGCTAAAGCTATAGAATATGTAACTAATATCTAGATCCTTGGGTAGCTTTGAAGAATGATATGACCAGGTTCTTTTCTTGAAGAAAGTGGTGTAGGGAATATGATTTTAAACATACGAACTATCTCACTCCCCTCTCAACACCAAAGTTCGAACTGGTACAATTATTTGATTTGCTGTCAGCACACTAATTACAAATTATGAACACAGCAAATTAGAAGGCAAAAAAAGAGAGCAAAAGGTGGTCAAACCTGTGTGAAATAAGTGTATATGTCGCTAATCACTAAAACACGCAGATATCCATGTAATCCTAATGCAAGGAGGAGTCCAGCATGGATCGCATTTGGTTCCTCAGGTTTGTTGTATATAATCCATGTCCTTGACACTTTTCCCTGCATGTGAAAGGGAAAAATACTTCAAAACAAGTTTTCTAAAAATGCTTTTCAAGGTAAAATAGTATATAACATAAGTAATATGAAAAACAGCTGAGAAATAAAGGAAACCAGAAAATTGGAACAGTCAAATCAATAATAAAGAGTAATAAATATATGCCCATCTTTACTAGAGCAAGTGCATGTCACATTAAGCAAAATGATAAACTGCATTTTAATGTCACATCAATAACAAAGAGTAATAAATATATTCCTGTTTTTTCTAAAGCAAGTGCAAGTCACATTAAGCAAAATGATTAGCAACATTTTAACGTCATTAAAAAGTGAACTAAGAATTTCATAATGCAGAAAAACTTGGTGAAAAATAGGTAGAGTAATTGATGAACTTGAACTAGGGGGAGAAAAACATGATCTCAAAAGGATACAAAAATAAACCTGAAGGGGAGCCAGCCTTAGTCCAGCAGCAACAGCATTGTGAAACTCTGACCAAGATTTAAGTTCTTGTATATTCCTTATATTTGGGTCTAGATTTACCTATCAAAAGAAAGAACATGCAAGACAGAAAAATAAGAAAGAAGGAGAAGATGTTCAGAAGAAAAATGATAAAGAGACAAAGCTCCGACTGCAAACTCAAGGAAAACAGAATAATTTATTTTTTATTATTTAGCATGTTAAAGTTCGTTCATCAAGATTCATCAAAAGAAATGGAACTACCCAACCATTACAAAATGCTAGTTACGAGAACATAGCAGGTAACATGTAACCAAGAGAACAGAAACACATAGACAACAGAAGTTTACAAGTTTATTACTTAATAAAACAACAACATACAGTTGCATTTTGTTGAGCCAGCAACCGACCTGCTAAAACAAGCTTTGGCACCGTGAAGGCCTGCAGAAAGAGATTAAATATGAAACAGGATTGCATCATCAAAAATCAATTTAGTTACAAAAGCCCAAGAAATTAAAAAGTAAAACAGAAAGAATACCTCTGTTAGAAGGGTAGATATGGTTGCTAGAGTAAATGCCCCACGGCCAAGAGGAAGAGCAGTGGTCCTTTGTGCCAGGTGCCACAGTTGAGCCTTCACAAGCAAAAGGGAGAGAAGAGGACACAATAAGATAAGGATCTGAACCATAAGTAAAACAGGAACAATGTAATAATAAAAGACTGCGGAACTTTTAAGGTCTCTCATCCTCAGTACTGAAATTCTCCATGTGTATTGTAGTGAACATTACTTTGAAAAATTCCCATGTGCAGCACAACTTGTTAATCGTCCAAACACATTGTTATCTTGTAGTAGCATTTAGCATTTCAATCTATACAAGGAAGTTAATAACTACTAGAACACTTAGAAATAAATATTTTACAGCTTTCAAATAGACAGCAAGTGAGGTATACCTGCTGTATGTCCTGGTCAGAGGCGCTGGGGTTAACAGATGTTTGGATAGCCACAGGTCTTGTGGAGCACAAGAGTCGTCTAACCTGGTTGAAGTGAAAATAGGTAGTAAGAAAACACAGAAGAGTACAGAACTTTTCATAATGCAACAATTACATGAGTGCAATTTAAGAAAACTGATTCAAAACCTAGTGCAACAAACTAATAGACTCTGCCAGATTCAAAATGATTGAATAGCATCCATGAACTGATGTCAAATTTAAGAAAACTTCTTTTATAAGACTTTATCATACAAAAATTGCATCAGGAAGCATTTCAAACCTTAGGTAAATCTTAAATCATTTCCCTGCACTTATAATTTGAACAGTTCGATATTGATGGTTGATCCTATGGGCAAGAGCAAACCTCATTCAACCGCTGATCTCGACCATACTGCAATTGAGTGCTGGAGTTGAAGATATGTTCCATACCATCCATCATAGACCCATCAGCAGAATCTGAATCTTCAAACTTGGCACTTTCCAGTCCAGTAGTATCAGAAACTGTAGAAGGAATTGTCACCGGATGCAAATGTAGCATGTAAGGTGTCGACATGGAGATCAGATTCACATTGGGTTGAGTTTCAAGTTCCCCAGATTTGCATGGCAGAGCTGAACAAGACAAAGCCAGATCCTCTCTACCAAGAAGAACATATGCAGCTGCAGACCAATCAGTTGGAGGGGATTCCCGGCACTTGTCTAGGGCCTAAAGGTGAAGAAAATCATTAGTGTAGATAAAAGCCGGACCATCACCTTTTCTGAACAATTATTCCATAGATAAACCTGCCGCTAGACATAATATCCCAACTTTTCACTACCTTCACTTGACTTGCTAGGTCACTACACAACAATATGAACTTTACCATTTCAAAAGATAATACAGGAATTTACGAAGTTCTATGGATCTATTTGCTCGCATAGCTTCCCATACCCAGCAAAGTACTATAATCAACTTACATGTCGCAGAGGAAGGGATACACCAGATGGTAGTGAGTCAAGCTGCTGCAGACCAAATCTTTCCCCAACCATTGCCAAAACCGTGAGCTCCTCACTAGTGCAACATGAACCCATAGCAATATTACAGTAAACACCAGATGACAGCTTCTTGCCTATTTGTTTACCACCACATAATAAACTGTAGAAGGAAACTATCTTTCTTGCCCAGCTCACAACAGAGTTTCCATCTTTACAAATTAAAGGCGGAAGATCATCCGTATTAGCAGAACTACAACCATGTTGCAAGCAGTTTTCAAGCCATCTGAATAAACTAGGAGGAGTTTTCTGGGAGAAAGGCATCTCACATGTCCCAATTTTCAAAATCAGACCAGGAAAATCACGAATATAATGATCCAAATAATTTCCCTCACCAAGAAACTTGGCAATATTGCATAAAAGAACTGCCACAAGCTCCAAGTCCCTACAAGCAAACATTCTAGGCATAAGATGTTAACGAAACTTTTGAGTTATATACATCAAACAAATAAAACGAAAAGGTTGAGCCTTAGATTACTTATGCAATTTAAACTTTAGTGAGTCATTTAGCTTAGAAAACTATACCAGAATGTCTTTGTTCAAAAAAATATTTAAATAGACTCAAAATGTTTGCAACAATAGTCTAAATAATGAACTAGACTTACCGTTTGCGAAGTTTATCCAGTTTCAGACTTTCATATAATGCATGTAGACAATCCAAGCTCTCCTGTAATAGCTCAAAGTAAAATGACTTTTCTGAACTTCGATTACCTTCCATATTTGATCCAAAGGAATCCATTTTCTCCGGATCAAAGGACAATTCTGATGAAGAAACCCTAGAAATAAAATTAAGTTTATGGTAGTTCTTGTGAAATTTGCTGTTAACAAGAAACTCCCAGGATGAATGCTGCTCTAAGTCTGAATGCTTCTGAGAAGTGGCACTAGGCTTCCTACACATTTGAAGTATGATATTACAAAATGAGTTCCATTCAGAATCAACACTAGAATTGGCCCTAGACAAATAGTCAGAGTTACTATCTCCCCAGAGAAGAGCAAGGAAATGGTTATAGAAGCCAGAACTGAGCCCCTCAGCCATTGCTGTGATGCAATCATTAACTAATGAAGATGAAGGGCTTCTTCGTAATGTGCATCGAATCATCTGAAAACAAAAAATTGAGGGTATAATATTATTAACAGAGTAAGTGTGATTGACAGAATTGTAGAAGGTTAAAAATTCTGGTGGATAGTAAGAACAAATTAAAAGGGTCGGCCAATTAGCTAATCTGCATAATTAAATACTGTTACTGTATAGATAGATCTCATTGCAAAACTTCATTAACAAAAACAATCACTATTGCAAGTTATTAAAAGCATGAACATGCTATTAGCAATATGAAGCTACAACCAACTCAATTAAACTAATCCCAAACTAATGTGAGGTGAACTTTAATCTTTTTACTCCATTCTACCAGCATGGGACTGTATGAAACTGTACTGTAAATTATGAAATAATCCAGAACAAAATGCACAGCATATAGGTAGGAGAAAAGTAAAGAAAACAAAAAAAGTTGCAGAGGAGCACAGCTAAACAAGAAACATTAAAGCAGACGAGCATGCAAAAAAAAAAAGTGGTGACAATAACAATGGTAATTGGTGATAAATGTACCAGATTTGGCTCAAAAAAGAACTTTCTGTGTACATATTAACAAACCTGGCCACTATTTAATATTAGATTAACACGCCCCTCCACTGCATCAGTCAATCCTAAAATCTTTGAGTCAAGCGGAACAGATGCAGTCTCTGAGAATTCCAAATTATGTGAAAGATGGCCTTTTCCAAAAAAAGACGGCAACAAATACTTACACAATAATTGCTTCCCTGACTGCAACATAACATGTGAGTTAATATTACCCATATAGCCAAATCATATGGAGAAAAGAACATGAATTGATTTTGCAAATCACTCATCACTGCTCTGACAAAAAATATTATCAATAGACTGATAGACAAAACATAGTGCAGTTCATAGAGCAAGCAATGTGCAGTTCATAGCTAAAAATATTATCAAAAGAATGTCTCAGAGAAGAAAACTAAATTTGCTTTCTGTTACTAAGAATGATGAGATTACTAAATAACATTTATCGTACACAAGGAATCTTGGTTAGTGCAGAGGAACTATTTCTCCTATAAAATTTTAAGTACTGAAAAACACACACACAAGTTGGACATGTAACAAATAGAGCTGCTAGTATAAAGAAAAGATTCAAACCCAGCCAGTTGAAATTGGTTAACAATCTTCATAAACAAACTCTGAAGCTATATAATTATCAAGGGAAAGTGAGTCAAACTTCTGGTTGGGAACGCTACTACCCATTTTTAAACTAAAAACTGCCTGTAAAAATTTATTGACTTTTTGGCATAACAAGAAATAATAATAATAATAATAATTGAAATGAATAATTGTAGATGGCAGTATTGATTGAATATCTGTATAAATGTTAGCAAGAAATCCCAGAAATACAGAGGAAAAGTTATCAACTTATGCTGGACACAAGAAAATTACAGGGAGAAAGCATCCAAACAGACAAAAAGTTGCTCTTTACATGAAGGGGTATAGAAAAACAAATAAAAGCTAAAAAGATTATTATGATGTCAAGACTAATGCAGGCCACCAGGGCATGCAGCTTACAATAAGGAGAAGCGAGTTGTCGGGAGCCAAAACAACAGTGTCTGTATAAGGCAGGAGTCCTACTTTCACTCTGCAAAAGAAAGAGAAGCCAAAAGTGGAAAAGCGTGATTTCATAAGAAAAGATGATGACCTGGTCAGGTTGAAGCATATAAAGACAGAAAAGAAAGGCCAACTCTACCTTGGGTGTGTAACACTCACAGGTGCAGCTGCAACTGCAGCAACACTCCAGCTCACATCAGGTTTGATATCAAAAATAATCTCATTATTAATTTCAAGACTTTGAAGCTTTACAGACAACAACTTCTTCTGTTCTTGAAGAAGAAAACAAATAACAGGAGCAGCATCATCGTCAGTCGCGAGAAAAACCTTTAACATGAAAAGGAAACAAATTGTGTAAGCACCGTATATCATAAATTACCAGAAGGAAAATAGTATGATAGACATCAAACTCAATTGAATGAAACACGGGTCAGATACACCAGTTCAGAATAATGGCAAAAAATTGGAGGCAAACTCTATTTGGAAGAGCAACTCCAACCATGGTAGTCGAAATATCTTCAACCAAACTTGATTTTTGAAGAAAGAAGGGGTTAAAAAAATGAGTTGAAAAGAATAATTGTGCTTTTGTAAGGGTTTTATTTTCATTTCATTAGACTTAGGTACAGACTAAGTTCCGGAACCATAAGGTGCCAAGAACTGATGAAAGGCACCTTACTAGCAGCTGTCTGGGCACCCTTCCCCTGCCATATTCTACGGAAGGAGAAATTTTTATCTAATACATCATCAAAAGCTGCACCACTTAGACTGGCATTTTCAGCTTCAAAATTAGAATTCATGATTTCAGCAACCCACAGTGAATGCTGCATCTTCCCTGCATATAAAGCAAAACGTTATACATGATAACATTAGAAAGGAGATAAAAGTAAAAGAGACATGGAATAATCCACTCAAAGGCAATACGAGAAACCTTTATTGTATGATGCCATTAGAGGAATTCGATTGCTAGTCCAAATTGCTCTTTCATCAAAATCCTTCATTATGGTCAATTTTCCTCTTTCTTCAACATACATCAACTGTGAAAGATCAAAGCAGTATAGTTTGTGATCATCACAGAATACAAAAATAAAAGGAACCTAACTACATAACTTCAAAAATGACAAGGCAAGCAAGTTGTTCTTTTCATTCAGCAAAAGCAACTATACATACATGTGGCTCTTCCAACAGATCCTTCAAAATGAGATGTGAGGACATTATAACTGAATCTCCTTTGATCACATGATCAAATGTCCCCAAAACACCAAAGTTATGGTGTGGGCTGTGCACAATCTCTCGTTTAGCACGGGACATATCACACACGCCAAATAAAGGGCTTGGGGATGAGAAGTGATTTTGCATTGGAGAATTCTCAGAGGCTGACTGGAGTAGCAAACCGAATGGGAGAGGCCATATTGATGTGATAGTACAAGGGAGGGGAATGGATACTACTTCACCTGTGTGTGAGAGAGAGAAAGAGTAAGAGAATGAGAGTATCAGCTTAATTTCAGAAAACAAATAGCAGCTCAACCGATGCAACGAAATGTCTAGGCTAAAAAAAAAATTAAAATTCCTGGATAAAGTACAACCAGATATGTATAAACTGAGCAGTACAATATGCTCCTCTCTAGTAGATATGCGACACTTTGTATTCATGGGCCCGTGTCAACACAAAAACAAAAAAGTGCACCACCAAACAGCACAAGGCGATACAAAAATGACAATGATTATGTATATCCTAACAACATTAATTTTCTTCTGTTTACAAAATGCTGCATTTTTTATTTTTTTGTAATTGAAACAACTGGAGTGATTGCCTGTTGATTATGTTGATGCCCTGGGACGCCTGAGAATTAGATGCTATGCACCAAGTTTTGCAATAGCATGCTAAACAGGAATGACTATTTCACGAAAAAATAAAATGTTCATTGAAAGAAAATATCATATTGCATTATCACCAAAAAAAAAAACATCTCAGTCTTCTTACCTGATATGTTATATATTGTTAAGGAATCAGTAAGCAATATGCAAAGCAGAGCTTCAGAAAGATCACCCAGATGACACCAGCACGCCTGTAACATGATAAAGAAGTCGTAGTAGAAATCATATACTGTAAAAGGGTATTATAACAAACATAATCTGATAACGAGCCAAATGTAGGATCACTTTGTACCATGATAACTGGGGAGGGCAACGTGAATCTCTTGAAAACTCTTGCACCAGTAGACCATATAATCCTATTAAGCCACCGGAGAGAGAGGAGATAAATGGGAATTCTATAAAAATGATAGTAATAAAAGCAGTGGATGATATTCGGGGAAAAAAAGCTATTAAATTTAATTCAGTTAGTTACAACATTACTGTAAATGGAATCAATTACTGGCTAAGTAGGATGAACAGAATTAGACATCAAACTTCGATCAGATATGCAAATACTTATAACTCAAGAAAATAGGAGTCGTGTAATTAAACAAATTGACCTAAAATTAACGGTAATCTCATTCCAAAAAAGAAATTTTTAGAGAGAAAAAAGACAGTATCAGTATGATGTACTTGTTTCCTCTAATGAAGAGCTCGTGGTCGCTGCGATCTCTGAGCGCGGAGCCGCATGTATCGGTTTCGTCGATTTCGTTGCGGTCTCGGGCGATTTCGGGATCGAAGAGGAAATAGTCGTAGTCATCAGGGTCGGTGTCTGGAGGTTTACCGTCCAGAGCTTCAGCAATCAGGCCAAATGGCTTGAACTCTCCAAGAACTGTGAGTTCACAAACCCTGACGGCCATTTACAAAATCGAGTTGTGACTGAGTTGGTTGAGCGAGTGATGGAAATTTTGGATCATTAAACGTTTAGTTTCTCACTCCCGCTCTTTTTCGTGTTTTTAGTAAATGGTGCGGTTGTTCTTTTAAAGCCTTAAACCCTAGCGAACTAGATTATGATAACCCGACCCCAAAATGACGAGCCGAACTCGCATGACCCGGTCCCGTATGTTTCGTGTTTGTTGGGAGTAAAAAATTGACGTTAAATATTAATAGTACGTTTGTTTTATGTTAAAAAAAATGAAAATATTAATAGTACGTTTGTTTTATGTTTAAAAAAAATAAATTTTTTATTTTTAAATTATTTTAATCTACTAATATTAAAAATAATTTTTAAAAAATACATATATATATATATAATTTTTATGTATTTCAAAGCAAAAAAACTTTAAAAAATGATTGTTGCTACAAGATTAAATGAGCTATGAGAGGCTAATGGCATATTTGATAGTGTGTTTTCAACTATATTTAGATATATTTTAAATATATATTTATTTAAATAATATTAAATTGATATTTTTAAATATTTTTCAATGATTTTGATATATTTATGTCAAAAAAATAAAAATATATTTTTTAAATATATTTTTAAATAAAAAATAATTTTAAAAAATATTTTACACCATAATACCATCCGATAAGAGGATATTTAACACAACTTTTGCTCATTCTTTTCGGTGATGCACCGAAGTTTTTCACTTGAAAAAATATTAAATTGATTATTTTTAATGTTTTTATAAAAAATATTTTTAAATATTTTTAAATAAAATATTATTTTAAAAAAATACTGTATATCATACAGAGAAGCAAGAAAACTATTAAAAGATAGAGTATTGATGATATTTGACAGGGGAGAGTGAGAGGTGAGAAAAATATTTGTAAGATCGAATAATTCCTAAATCAACAATCAAATAAATATAATAAAAATAATATGGGATAGTGTCGTTCATTTGCTTAAATATAAAATATTATTTAGAAATGCCGTTGAAATTGTATTCCTTTAAATTCTTTAAAAGAAATTGTTAAAATTTATTTTTTATATCTTTTTAATGTATTGATATCAAAATAATTTTTAAAAAATAAAAAAATATTATTTGAATATATTTTTAAATAAAAAGTACTTTAAACTATAATAACTACTACAATTTCAAACAAAATAAGTTTTTAAAATTAAAAAATAAAAGCACGAACAGCAAAAATCATCCCACGAAGTTTTTGCTGCTTCCCTTAACTTTCCATCCTCCTAGATGAAGGGGGCTAAATGCTAGATTAAATATTGTAATTCTAGAATGTTGGGAAAGTGTTCCAGTAAATTTTAATTGATTGGTCGTCGCAGTGGATCGCGAAAAAAAATCTTATCAAGGGTAAGTTTCGCAGGGCGATTCAACTTAAAAAAAAAAAAATGTATTTTTAAAAAAAATTTAGATTATTTTAATATATTTTTAAGTAAAAATTATTTAATAAAACAAATGAAAATTCTTAAACACCTTCTAAATAAATAATTTGAGGTTTTTTTTTTTAGGTTATCAAAATTGGAAAATCTATTGAGATGATTCTGCATCTATAAGTTATCAAACCACGAGACTCATTCTAACATTTACTTAACATCACCAACAGGTTTGAGTTTTTAGGCATTGAAGAACTCACGGATTTTTTGTCGAAACATGGACAATTTTATTACTTGAATCTAAATTTAGATAGGTAATTACTAAAATTGATTCAAATTAAAAACTTACCAACTCAAATTTCAAATATAAATTAACTATGTTAGTTCATAAAATCAAGTTTAATAACCTTACTCCCACCGACCATCTCAAATTATATTGTATTTTAAAATGTGTGGGAAAAATATTATAAATATACTATAACATTGATTTATTGTACTATTTGCCATACTATAAACATGAAGTTTTTGCATTGTAAATGACATTGTAATTTTGCGGGGTATTATTTTTACAGTTTTTTATGTTAAAAGTTTTTTGGTCAGGGTCAACTGCGTTGAATCAAGAATAACCACCAGACATATAACTATTAAATCTAACTTGACCACCACCACGGGTGTAGCATGGTCATCCAACCCATAATTTTAGTGCTTGGCAAGTTGCTGTATTTCAAGATTAAAATAATAAAAAATATTTTAAAACAAATTAATTTAATATTTTTTAAAATTAAAAATATTTTAAAACATATTTCACGGCAAACTTGTGGATGCATCCAGATTCTTGGAAAGAAACAATGAAATCTTACTTTCTAAAATTATTCATTCACGTCTACTTATTAAATATTTAAACGACTTTTGCAAGTCACTCTAAAATATCCCGTGCACCAAACATTCATTCATTTTTTGTGCATAAATGAATGGTTATATTGATCTAAACTTTTTATTTCATATAAAACAATTTATTAACCCTACTACTATTATTATTACCGGTCCCTTGCCTTCTTTCTAATCAAATTCACAACCTAAATAGTAAATACTTTGTCATGTGAGAAAAATGAAAGTGGAATTCTTTTTTAAGTCGTATTAGAAGTATCAGCAAAATTTGTTTGATCTGTCCTTGGAAACAAATCATGGAGAATAAAAAAGGTCTGTATAATCCAGTTCATTTAATTTGTCATGTTATCGCGCGCGGTGTGTGTGTGGATATACATTATAATTTATGTTTAGGTTTTTTTCAAGGCTAGTTCAATTCTTTTATAAGAAATAAATTAATTTATAAAAAATAAGATTTATGTTTAGGTCAGTGAAATGATAATTTTTTTATATAAAGATATAAAAAAATATTAATTTAATTTTTTTATTTATGATACTTCAGGGCTGGTTTAAATATTTTTTATACAAAACAAAAAAAATAAATTAGGTTTTCTATTTATGTTACTTGAAGAATAATTTATTTATTTTTTATATATAAAATAATTAAGATTTCTGTTAGAGATACTTTTACATTAATTTAAATATTTTTTATAAAAAATAAAAAAATATTTATAAACAAATTAATCAATGTTTATGTTTATGATACTTCAAGAGTAGTTTATATATTATTTTATAAAAAATAGAATTAACAAAATGATTAAGATTTTTATTTATGATTTTTCTAAAATAAAAAAGTAGTTATGATCTGTATCTGGATTTTTCAAGAGTAATTTGAATATTTTTGCAATAAAAAAATAATTTGAATTTATGTTTATGATACTTTAAAAATGATTTAAAAGTATTTTTATAGAAAATAAAAAATATTATAAACAAAATAATCAATACTAAACTCGAAGTTATTGGTCTGGTTTGATTACCAATTTAAGGATTAAAATAATAAAAAATATTAATTTAATATTTTTCAAATTAAAATTTTTTTAAATTATATATAACAATAAGCTTGCACATGCATCCAAATTCCTAAAAAGGAAAATGAAATGTTACTTTCTAAAAAACAACCTATTCACATCTACTTGTTAAATATCTAAACGACTTTTGCGGATCACTTCAAAATATTTTGTGCATCAAATATTCATCCATTTTTCGTGCATAAATGAATAGCTGTGTTGATCCAGACCTTTTATTTAATATAAAATAATTCACTAATCCTGATATTATTATTTCTACAACTCTACTTCAGTGTTGTTATTATTAATATATTGGTTAAATTTGTGAATTAAATAAACCATGGTAGTTCAAGAATTTTCTCCTCCATCATCTTTTAAGGAAATTCATAATGTAAATAGTAAATACTTTGTCACGCGAGGAAAATGAAAGTGAAATTCATTTTCAAGCTGTACTGGAAGTCCCAGCAAAATTTATTTGACTTGTCTTTGGAAACAAATTATGAAGAATGCAATAGGTCTGGATAATTCAATTGATTTGATTTGTTAATGCAATTTGTCACGTTATCGCGCACAATGTTTTTTTTTTGTAAAAATAAAATAATTTTATAAAAAAATAAATTAGAATTTCTACTTAGGTGCTTCAATGACAATTTAAAAATATTTTTTATAAACATTAAAAAATTATAAAAATAAAAACAACTTATACAGAAGATAAATTAGGTTTCTATTTAGATTACTTTAAGGATAATTTAAATATTTTTTATAAAAATAAAAATAATTTATAAAAAAATTAATTAGAATTTATATCTTTTACACGTTAAGGGTAGTTTAAATATTTTTTTTATAAAAAAATAGGAAAAATTAACAAAATAATAATTAAAATTTCTGTTTATGATACTTTTATAATAGTTAAATATGTTTTTCAGAAAAAAAAGAAAATATTTATAAAAAAATTAATTAAAATTTATATTTAGAACACTTTAAGGGTAATTTAAATATTTTTTAATAAAAAATTAATTATATTCCGGTTTGTAATATTTAAAGGGCAATTGAAATATTTTTTTATAAAAATATAATTAAACATAACTACTAAATCCAAAGTTATCGAACATAGCTTGGCCACCATCCTCGTACCAAAAGTTATTAAGTTTGACTTGGACATTGAATTTGTGATTTTGAATCTGGAATTGCCTTAAAATTCAAGGTTATGTGGTATGACTCGTCCAGCAAAACTAAAAAAATAAAAAAATAAAAAAATTATTAGAATTTAAAATATTTAAAATAGTTTTTATATTTTTATATTTAAAAAATTATTATTAACTCCATGGGGAGCATAGATCACTTTACTACTTTCATTTAATGTTAATTTTTTTTTATTTTTTACCATCGATGTCCAAATATTGTCCAACCAGAACCAGCAACGTGTTCCTTGGAAAAGAAAAGGAAAAGAAAAGAAAAGAAAACGGAAGAAAACAAAGCACTATTTCTATTTTTTATTTTTCTCTGGGGGAAAAATAAAGCGAAAAGAACCAGTCTCCGACCAAGAGCCAGAGAGATTAACGTGGTGGACACTTTGTGTATTGAATGACTTAGTCGTCAAGATTAATAAATTTACCTAATGATAATGAAACCCACCCTCTTAAGAAAACCTTCCCTTTCATTTTCAAGTATAAACACCCTCATCCATGGAGTGTGCAGAACACATCATTCTCTTTTTTCGCAAATTCAGCTAATCAACCCGTCCAAACT